CGTCTTTTACCCTGGATGGTGTAAATAATTTACGAAATGTGCATATGTGGTCCCATAATAATCCACATGAGATAATGGAAACGAAATTCCAAAAGAGATTTTCCGTGAATGTAGGTTTAATACAGTTATGTGGTCGGCTTATAGTGCAGTCAGCCATATTACGTCAGCGCTTGCCAGTCATGTGTTATGTATAGTGTTTGGAAACCCTAAGGACAATTATGACATGGCGAGCGAGTATTTTGTACTTCAATTTTATGGCTTCACGTCACTCACAAGTTAGTTTGATGTTACATACATTATTAACATTACAGAAACCACATATTCCTGCCAGTTTTAATATGTATTTTGTAATCAACAAGTGTGTAACACCGGTCAAAATTTGACACTTCTCTGGCCATTATCTCTGTAACCGTTCAACTTTGGACATAGGTGTTTTGGGTTATATCGGCATACTTTAACATAAGGAACACCCTCCCGAAGTTTGGTCCATTCCTCCTGGGACACTCTGTATAAAAACTAATACATGCAACTAAAATACAAAGCTATAATTACTGGGATACCTCAAGATCAAATTTAATGTTCCTATCAAGGTACTCTTCACCAGAATAAAAAACGTTTTCTACAAAAAAAACTTTCTCAATTTATGTCCAGATTTATTAATGTTATATGCAACTTGCTTGATATTCTCGCTTTTAATGTTTTACAATAGGCTTTTTATTCCTGCTACATATTTCGGTCATACAAGACCATCATCAGGCAGTTAATATAGGAATACTTTTAGTTTACTGAACTACTGATATGGATCCATACCAGTGCAAGACATCACTTCATATAATAACAGAATTTTTTTCTCAAGGTGGTAGGTATTACATTTAAAATAAGATGAAACATAAGATAAAAGATAATCTATATAAATCAAAATGTAAATGTTGGTTTGTTAGCCCTCGAAAATCTCCGAAAGTTCTTCACCGATTGCTTTGAAATTTTGACACAACATTGCATTCGAGGACGCGCATGTTTTTATATACCCATTATATAGATGTCACACCTGTGACATGCGACTTTGAAAACCGGAATTGGAATTTGGAATTCAGAAGAGTGACCCCTATGGAAACGCTAGAACAGACCGTTGCATAGGAAGTAACAATAGCGATACTGTATCGAATCTCCATGATTACAATGAATACACGGAGCGTTCCCACAGAGACAACGCAATAACAATGGGTCGTTGCGTAGGAATCGCGGAATCAACAAAGCAGCACATGGCTGAAGATATTTTCCTTCGAATGCGCAAGGAAAATTCCAATATGAACATGGACTTCACAGCAGAAATCTACAACGAGGCGTTGATAATGATTGAGGATTTGTGCTTAGAAATCGCGAACAAAGTTCTCAATCAATTGGGAATGCCATCACCGAATCGATCTCCTGCTGCTTCGTTCAATGTAGAATTGTGTCGTGAACAAAATTACAACACGGGTGATCTTTTGTCGTATGTGCAATCAAATATTCCTAAGCTAACGCTTGAGCAAAAAGGCATTTACGATCAAATCATGCAAACTGTCAATAACGGGGTTGCAGAATTCTTCTTCTTAGATATGCCAGGAGGAACTGGTTAAATGTTTCTAATTAGATTGATTCTGGCAACAATTCGATCCCAAAATGACATAGCCTTAGCTCTTGCGTCATCCGGAATAGCTGCGACATTGCTACCAGGTGGAAGAACAGCTCATTCCACTTTGAAATTGCCATTGAACATGCAATTCATTGAAAATCCCACGTGCAACGTTTCCAAAGGATCAGGCATGGGAAAGGTATTGCAGAAATGCAAACTTATTGTTTGGGATGAATGCACAATGGCGCACAAAAATCGCTCGAGGCTCTTGATCGATCATGGCAAGATTTGTGTGGAAACATCAGACCATTTGGGAACGCATTAATATTGCTTGCAGGGGATTTCAGGCAAACATTACCTGTAATTCCTCGATCGACACCAGCGTATGAAATAAATGCTTGCCTGAAATGCCCTACTTTATGGCGACACGTAAAGACGTTAAAATTAACTACAAATATGCGTGTCCAGCTGCAAAATGATCCATCAGCTGAGATATTCTCGCATCAATTGCTGAAAATTGGGAACGGAAAGGTGCCGGTTGATCTGACCTCAGGACAAATTTCATTGCCTCATAACTTCTGCAATTTAGTGACGTCAAAGGAAGAATTGGTTGAAAAAGTATTTCCCAATGTTGAAACCAATTATAAGAATCACGACTGGCTGAGTGAACAAGCTATTCTTGCGGCCAAGAATAAAGATGTCTACGAACTTAACAATATCATTCAGTCTAACATTCAATGCGAGGCAGTCACATACAACTCCATCGACACTGTTGTGGAAGCAGATGAAGCGGTTAATTATCCAACAGAATTTTTTAATTCACTCGATCTGCCACAGCAACGGGTGGCTGGGTACAGCTAGTATATATATAAATGAAGTATATAGCATGTACCAAGATATATTTGATGATATAAATACTGAATATATTACAGAAATATTAAATATTAAAATTACTTACAAATTTGTAAAAATATTTAAAACTATTACGTATGGAAGGTAAGAATATGTATACCAATTCTAGGTTCCAGTGCTACAGTGTAGAAATGGGCATGTTATGTCATTGTAGATCTTTGTTGTTTGTTGTTAGAAGTTTTCTACATAGTAAGCCCGGCCGTGGAGCCCAGAGACAAGTTCCTATGGTGTACGGGTTTTTAATGTGTTATGTATTGCGTGTGCATATTTCTGATATGTGTCAATGTATGATCATAAAATGTGATGTATGCATTTTTTCTGGGCGTCTGTATGTTCAATATGTTCTAACTGTGCATTGGTTCGATGTAGACTGATGCTGGTTCAAAGGTGTGAGTATAAGTAAAAAAAAAATGTAAAGTTATCCCTGTAACAGGCTGTGGAGGCCCATAGGGTTGTGAGATGTTGAGGTTTCCACATTATCTATACAGTCGGCTCATAGATGGTGGTAAGGTTGTCAGCCTTACTCACTAGCCACCCTGTACCCCAGAGAATATTCCTGGTACTCATTTCTGTTAGAGGCTGAGTCAACCCCAGGGCCATAGTATGGCTGGAAGGATTAGGGAAATTGAAAAAAAATCCACCTCATTGGAATTCGATCCCGCGACCTTCTGGCTTGTAGCCTCAACCAACTACGCTACCGCATGCCCCCGTGAGTATAAGCGTATTGGTGTATTGTTGAATAGAGAGTTCTGTCTTCCGGGATATAACACCATGTAATCCGTTGAAAATCAATCAACATCTCAGAGGAACATGTCACTTCCATCTTCATAGTCAAAGAATAAGCCAAGCAAGACACCAGCTCGGAACAGGTAGCAAGCTCCGCATAACCACTGCTGTGAGAGCCTCAGATTCTGCATATTGTTAAATGACTGGTCATGCCAGTGATTTGGAGATAAGTGTTCTACAGTTATAAAGCAATCATTTTTCTCAGTGACTGGTAGAAAAGTGCCTGCCTCTTACAGTGACTTAGGACAGAGTATGCAGCATCCCAAAATTCTGGTCTGGTTCCAACAGAAAATTTGCAGACTCATCCTAAATTTATTTAACATCTGAAGTCCTTCGGAGTTTTCGTTCAATTGGAAGCCTCACTTGGATAATTCCATGACAGACCCAAGTCTGACTGGCCAAGCTGTTTCTTCCAGAATTATGTTATTCCATAAGATGACATACACATATCCTACTCCTGAGATCCCTGAGAAATGTGTGTGCTGATTTATGTAATTTATTGTGCACTGTGGTTCCTTCAAGAGGTTCAACACTTTCAACTTGGTCTAAATGGCAATAAAACTGCATTAATAAGGCTCTCTCAGTCGAAGGTACAGTTGTCCCATGCAGTACTAAATGACTTCTATTTTCTTATACCTTCTCTAACTGGTGCCTATGTGAACTGTCATTGTAAAACTAACATGTCAAATACTGGACAGCAGCATGTCATTCCTTGACAAAACTGAAAAGTAACAATAGAATTTAAAGTGCTATATAGTTCTTGTAGCCGGTCACGGTAGCCGAGCGGTCTAAGGCATGTACTATCTTCGCTCGCTTGGAAACCGGGATCATGGGTTCGAATCCCACTCAGGGCATGGATGTTTAGTTTGTGTGTGTGCGTTTTTCTGTGTTTGTGTACAGGTAGAGGCCTTGCGACGAGCTAATCACTTGCCCAAGGAGTCCTACCGAATGTGTAAGATCTAGAAAAAACCGTAGTGAACATCGAAGTTCATGGAGGTAGGCCTAGGCCCACTGGGGCTGTAGTGCCAAGGAAAAAAAAAATATATAGTTCTTGTACAGTAATTGGTACCGCCCCTTTAACAACTCTCTCCTGGACTGTAGTCTGTTTAATATTTAGCCATCAATTATGGAATTTCTGCTTAAAATATTTTTGTACCTTGTGTTGCAGGAATTTGAATAGTCTGTGGAATTCTCACAGAGTGTAGCTGAGAGTGCATTATCTGTGTGGGTCCTGAAGGAAGGTTTCACGATGGTGACAGCAGCCCTCAACATAATACCATGAGAAAGTATTTGAAGGAAAGAGGATATGGCACTCCACAACTAAAACTCAAAAGATTCATTCAGATTTAAGATGATGTTGAAAATCGAACTTACCATTCCTCACAATAGTTTGTGTGCCCACAGTTTGAACTCTTTTATTGTGGGACGCATCACAGTTTGCTACAGTCATTGATGGCCTGCTACATAAAGAGTATAGACAGAATTAACTGTGAAGTGTGAAATTAACATCACTGTAGCCTGCCTGACTTTAGAAAGATTACTGCACTTATGACAGCAGTGTTGCAGTGTATAAGACAGTACAGACTAAAACTGAAATGCATGGCCAGCATACAAGCATTATTAAACTTGATTCTACAAACCTGTCATCAACCTGGAGATGTAGATTAGTCATTTGTGAAGACATGGAAATATGCTTTATTTAAATACTTTCCATTGTTCATTGGTGAGACATGATGTCACAAACAGGCATTTGAAATGCCTATAGCTCGAAGTGTTTCACTCAGTCTAACTTATATTTTTCTCAGTACTTTTACTTTAAACCCTTCCACTGATAAGTTTTGTTATCTATTAACAGTCCTCAGGCAGGTTTTTACATGTATTTACAAAATAATCTTACATCATCTGGGGATGAATGGATTTCAATTATTTTTGTTTTTGAAAATAGAAAATAAACACTCAGTTTATGAGATCTGATGTTTTTACTGTGGTGAAGATTTCATGTTCTGGTCTGGGATGTGACACTCTGTAATATGGTAGGAAGGTACCAGTGTTTTTACGGAACATACTGGCATACTTCATAGGTATATGGATAAGAGTATGCATGGACCAATAGTCATCTGCCATAGTCTTATTCGCATGTCCTAGGTCACTCTTCACTGGTCTCAATAGGTATGCATTCCAGCTTGAAATAATGTACAACTATTAAGATCAGTGAAAGATGACTGAGGATTAGGATACCAGGTATACACTGTATCCATTGTGAACTTAGAAAGGTCTGTGATGGATAGACAGGCTGTACCATTGAGATGAGGTGTAAGGAACATCACAGTACATAACAACCGATATGGCGGAACTTAGCGTGGAGGCAGGGCACTGTATAGACTTCAAGATACCGTGGTATTGTCTAGAAGAGCAAGTAAATGGACCACTTAGTGAACAAAGCTATTGAGATCAGCTAATTCAACGTGGATGTAGGGTTCATTCCAAGTCAACTCAGGTACCCAGCTAGCAACATACTCCAATGATGTAAGGCCTATATATAACAGTTGAAGAAAGAAAGGAAGGAAAAATAATAGTCATCTTCCCAGTTTTTTTTTTCTTTTCCTTTGATCCAATGGTCACCCCGTAGGGCTGCGCAAGTTGTCAATCCAATTATAACAAATTAGAAAGGAAAATATTAACTCTGCTGTCAACATCAATCAACTAGAATTGATACAACTCAACTTTCCAATTCTTAGTTTAAATATTAGATGTTAAAACAATTGAGAACAGCCCCCTTGACTCAGAACACAGACAGGACCCACAATATGTTCTGACTGACTATTTACTCTGCATTTATCTTTATGCTTCTTACATGGTCAACAAATTCCTCAATGGAGTAAAAGGAATTTCTTAATAAGTATCCTTTTAAAGCAACCCTAAATTGATCTTTATCCGTTCTTAACATTGAGATACTGTCTGGTAACATGTTAAAGAACCTGACACCTGAGTGATACACACCCCTCTGATACGACAACAAACGAGAAGCAGGCATATGAAAAAGATTATTATTCCTGGTGCCAATCGTGTATATTGTATTATTTATCAAAAACTTGTCACAGTTTTTTACAACAAAAGTCAATGGTGATAACAAGTATACACGGGAATTGGCAATATTCCCAGCTTCTTAAACAGATCATGACATGAGTGAGTTGGCCCAACTCCCATCATTATTCTTATTGTTTTCTTTTGCATACGAAAAACTTTAAGACAATCAGGGGTATTACCCCAATATATTATGCCATATTTCATTAAAGAATGATAATATGCATAATAAACAGATTTTAAGTTATTTTTGTTTAGAATATAAGATAATTTTAGCATTTGGAATTCAACCATACTCAATTTATGAAGTAACTGATTTACATGCACCTTACATGTCAGATGATTATCAATCTGTAAACCTAGAAATGTAGCTTCAGCTGTTTTGAGTATTGTGTTAAGAAGCATAGTTGTTAGCAGGTAATCAGTATGTATTGTTGGTGTAAACTTTATAATTTTTGTTTTGTCAAGATTTAATGTAAGAAGATTTGCCTGAAACCATCTACTCGTATGACTACAAATATCATCTAATTTTATTGTTAAATTATTATAGTCCTTGGCTGTACAGACAATGCTTGTGTCATCTGCAAACATTATGACTTCAGAAAATTCTCTTATTTCAAGGGGAAAATCGTTGATATAAATATTAAAAAGTAGAGGTCCCAAGACTGAACCCTGTGGCATACCAGAGAGAACTAGCTCCCAGTCTGAATTATATTTGTTATTGGTATATTTTAGTTCCACCCTTTGTTTCCTATTTTGAAAGTAGGATTTAAACCATTGTAGAAATAAACCCTGGACACCATAATATTGGAGTTTGAATAACATGAGTTCGTGATCTACACAGTCGAATGCCTTGGCTATATCACAGAATATGCCGACTGTATATTCTTTTCTGTCCCAAGCAGTTAGTATTACATTAGTTAATTTGAAGATTGTCTAAGTTAAGCAGCATAACCTGCATGTGAATGCTATGTCCACTGTTCCCTGAATGGTCTGTGATCAGACAAGACGCCAGGCTCTGAAAGGATTATGTTTATGAATATATGTAAAAACGTAAGTACAGTAAAGCTATCCCTGTACCAGGCCACGAAGGCTCATAGGGTTGTGAGACATTGAGGGTCCCACTCTCTCTAGACAATCGACTCAAAGATGGCGGTAATGTTGTCAGCCTTACGTGCCAGCTGTGCTTTACTCCCCAGGAAAATTATTTAATTAATTCCTGGTACTCATTTCTGTTAGAGGCTGAGTAAACCCCAGGGCCTAGTGTGGCTGGAAGAACTAGGTCAACTGAAAAAATCGACTGACATCAAGACTTGAACCCGCGACCTTCCGGCTTGTAGCATAGCCTCTCAACCAACTACGCTGCCGCGTACCCCCCTGAATATATGAGAAAAGTAATCATTACATCAGTCCCTGATGATGGAGGCAGTCTCCAAAACGTTCGATGCAAACTCCATTTTCACATGCCTGATCATCCAAGATTACTTCATTGTCAAAACTAATATAAACTATGAATCACTTCCATTACAGTTTTTGGAATAAACATGACTGTTATTGCTTAGGAGACATACAGTATTTTCCACGTGTCATTTTCCATTTATTTATTATCCAAACCACCCTGGGATCCTTTCTGCAAAGACCTAATTCCAAATTCTTCATGTTGTTTCATTCCTTGCTCTTTCCCCCTTGGATATTTTAGTCATGTTCATTAGAAACCTCAGCAGTCTGTTTAAGTGGTCTAGTTGATTTGTCAGTAGCAGGAATTAAGATATGAATACACTATATATATTATTTTCATTGTCAGAAAATTATAAGACCTTATCTTTATGGAATGCATCCTGTTGCGCATTTAACACAACACAGAGAATGTATAACATTCAGTATGTTTTATTAAAATCAACATGTTTCAACCATTTTATCTGGTCATCATCAGGTGAATACAAATGCTTAACAAGTGCTCTATTGAACTGCAAAATGCTTTATCTCTCATATGCGTCAATATTTACAATGACTTCTGTTTGATGACAGCATTGGCATAAGTAAAATCTATGTATAAAATGAAGGTGTGTGGAGTAAGTAAAATTGAACGACCTTGGAAGGAACTAGGGTAAATGAGTCTTGATCTACAAAGGTATGATCACTTATTCTGCTTGTTGCCGCATGTTGGGGTGGCAAAGATGATAACATGTGACGTTTAAGAATGGGCTGATGGTTGTTTGTTAGCCTAACTAGGCTATGGTTTTTACCATTCAAATGTGTAGTAACATAATCTAAGCTATACAGTGAAGTCTATGAATAGGTGACATAATGTATCATTGTACTCCCATTACCCCCCCCTCAAACTGACGAATGCAAAAAAATGATTGGCAGTTTATCTCTTACGTCAAAACCCACACTGATGATCCCCAGTAATTTCGGCTACCTACGAACTTATCCTGGTGGGAAGTATAATGTATACAATTTTGTATGAAGTTTACAAGTGATAACAGTGATATCCCTCGCGTTTTACTATAGTCAAACGCGACCACTATCGCTGTAATTTTTTCAGGGACTTAATGGGTATCCTTCGCGTGCAAAATCACCACACCAAATTTTCATTCGAACATTTAACCTCTAGTTTCCGATACGCTGTCAGTTGTCACAGATTTCTTTGTGAACCATTGTTTTATTAACTGCTTGCTTTAACATTTGCATTTTAGATGCTTCAAAGGCTAACATTTTGTAAACACCTAAATAATAGCAATTTGGTACACTTTTACGTGACTATTATTAAGCTAAAAAGAAATTGACATAAATAACTATAGTTATACATATTCAGTAGCTTACATTTGTTGTGTTCTGAGTGATTCGTAATTACCCCATCTATAATTTAATCTACGGCAGCATTTTCTGTGCAAAATTTCATAATTTGCATTTTATGTGGACAAAAATAATGGGCGTACCTAACTATTCATCATGGAAACAATACCACACTATTAAATTTCTCTACTATGTGTCAGTATTTTCGCAGACATATTTGTTTTGTTGTGATATCTGCTTGATGAATTCTTTCTATTTGTCAGCATCGTATGTTTGATGAAGGAAATTAGTAAAATTTCGTTAGTCTTTATGTTAACTGCAGTATTCGACGTAAATGTAGTACTTCTGTTGCGTTATATTGGTTATCCTGATCACCGTGTATAACAATTTTAGCCGTTGCTGTGGTGTTCGTGTTGTATGGCGAAGGGATGTGAAATGTGTTCGAATTTCAGTGTTTAAAATAAATTGATTGTAATAATATACTATGCATACAAGGAATATGTGCAGTTTGATGCAAACTATATATCTGCAAGCATTATGAGAAGCATTTGACCAGAAAGTAGGTCTTAGTTAATATTTGACATGAAGGTTATCTTTTGTCCTGTAGAGATGGCTACAGAGTTGAATGTCCTTGACTTTTTGATGGCCATACAAAGAAATAATTAATTACGTTCCTGTTAGTTTACGTGTAGAAATGTACTAGATTTATGTCAGTTTGGAATTTACAGCACTTTACTTCGTGTATCAGTAGTTTATTCTTTTATTTTCACTTAGTACGTTATGATCTGTGAGTTGGAATGCACCCTTCATACAACTGAAGGTATGGCTTAACTAACCATATGGCAAAGAAATTTTATATTTGTGGTTCTGCGTGATAAGCACTCATTACATAAGTTTAATACAGATATTTTGGGTTGATGTAGGTGTCTGCAGTTAATGTGGCTTGCTGCATGAATGTATGTTAGCAGCAAGCATTGAGTGACCTTGCTATTTCCTCTGTTATCTGGATACCGACTCATGCAATTGCGTCTATGTTTCGGTAAGTTTGATTAATTACACAGTTTTATATGCATGTTGGTGTATTGG